AACAGCCCATGCGGTTGTTTTGTGATAATCAGGCTGCTCTTCATATTGCCGCTAATCCGGTCTTCCATGAACGTACAAAACACATTGAGATTGATTGCCACTTTGTACGTGACGAAATCCAACGAGGTGTTTTGTGTACTCGCCACATCTCCACCAATGATCAACCGGCAGATCTCTTTACAAAGGCTTTGGCTTACGCTCCGTTTTCTCATTTACTGTCCAAGCTGGGCATCCAGAATCCGCATGCTCCAGCTTGAGGGGGGGTATTGGAACTGAGAAGTCCGGATCCAGAGAAGTCCGGATCCGGAGAAGTCCGACTTCCGAGGAATCCGGATTCCGAGAGATCCGAATTCCGAGAGGTCCGAATTCCGAGAAATCCAAACTTGAGAAGTCCAAATCCTTTGATGACCGAATCCCATTCTAATTAGGATTGATCTTGATTTATTTGTTTCCTAGTTTGATTATGATTTGTTTCCTTGTAGGATTTGTATTCCTTGTCTATTTTGGAATCATCCTCTCCTATAAATAAAGAAGAAACCCCTTGTAACTAGATAGAACAATTGAATATACAGAATCAATTCCCTCTTATCAATTTCTACAAGATACATCACTCACCTCAATTGGATCAACGAAGAATCAAAGTGGCAACTAGATTCCGGCAAGAACCCTGGCGAGGTCTGGGGAAGTTTTCCGGCAACTCCTCTGGACAGAAGTTGCGTGCGAAGAAGAGAAGAGGTCGTATATCTCCATATATAGTGTTCAGGCCGAAAGTTATTGGGCCGATTTTGATGTAATGGGCTGTGTTGTATTGTGGGCTTCAATTTCTGATTTAGTGTATTTCACTGGATCGTCAGAGTAGGGTGGCGAAATGCAGTTTATATGGCGGCTAGAGGGCGGCTAGAGGACTGTTTCGGGTAGCGAGGGTGATGATAGAAAAAAATTGGGCAGTGTGTGCACTGTAATTACACACCTTTCACAACTTTTTGGGAGCCTAATTTACTTTAGGACATTTAATGCTTTAGATTGAACAAATCTTAGACCATCATGTCCATTTAATGCAATAGATTCTCCCACCACTCCTAAATGCTTTATTTAACCAAACCAAGGTTTATTTACTCCAACACCCACAATTGGCCACAAATCGTTCTTACTAACGGAATTCAAAAATGTCCAAAAAGCCACAACCCAAAATGTGGAACTTGCTTGACAACATTGATAACGGTCGAACGAGATGGATGCTTAAGTTACGAGCGATACGCGTTTACCATGTTCCGGCTTGGTCTAAGGGCGGGGATTTCATGGAAGTCATCTTCCATGACGAGCACGTAATTTCTTAGTATAGTGTATTAAACAATATTTACTTTCTTACAAAACTCATTTCTAATTATTTTCTTTTTTTTTGCAGGGGACGAGGATTCATGCTCATCTTAAAAAACAAGAAAAGAAACGTTTTGAATACAACCTCATTGAAGCCAATCTCATTGAAGATAATCAGCTTTCAATTCTTCTTTTTCATGGTAAGAAAACACTCATTATTCAATTCTCATTAGTGATAAACCAAATTATACATATTCTATAACACCTCACTATTATTTTTTGCAAAATGCATTGCGAAATTGCTAAATACTGTTAACTATTAAAAACATTTTCCATACTCTGTTTCAAATACTTTGGAAACATTTATTTTTTTAAGATTGGTTCCTTGCATTCATAAAATTTAAACATGTTAACACAGGATATTTGTGAAGACGTATTTGGTTGAAATGAGAAAGCTCACTAAAAATGCAACAATCAATTCCAAAAGTGTGAAGGATGATGAATCAGACAAAGGTATGATACATTAAGAAGTTAAGATTGTTTTTGGAACTAAACTGTATTCAATATTTGAATGACATAAATATAATTATATCAAAGGGTAAAAATAGCTTAAACTAATTATAGAATTCAATCATGGTCCAATAATGATTAATTAAAAAAATTATTTTACGCATTCATACTCACTCATACTCATTGAATAAACTTACTATGCAAAAAAAAGTAGTGAAATTTGCACTAAATAGGACTAAAACATAATGACTTTCCTAATGTAGGACTTAAACTTTTTTATTCCTTAAATAGGACTAAATAATGACCTCGTGAGAGGAATAATGTCCAGTAATGCTATGCATTTAGTTGAATAATGACTTCTTGTTAATGACCAAAAGTCCTACATTGGAAAATAAAAACAAATAGTCCTATATTGAGAAAGTCATTATATTTTAGTCCTATTTAGGTAAATTTCTCAAAAAAGTACTCCCTCCGTCCTATAATGATCTTCTCAGAGCACTATTCCAACTTCACGGGAATTTATATTTATTTGTGTTTTTTCATGGCCTATATGATAAAATAAAATATTCTTGTCACCACTTGTTTTGTTGAACTTTTGATGTAGTTTTTAAATATGTATGTTTTATTTTTTATTTCTATACCAATATTTAAATAAAATAGATTGAAAAAACTTGGAATTTTTCTTCGTTTTGCGAACCGGGAAGATCATTATAGGACGGAGGGAGTAATATATACATACATACATACATACATATACATATACATATACATACATACATACATACATATACATATACATATACATATACATATATATATATATATATATATATATATATATTGTATATGTTTGTTACCTGTAAAATTTGTTTCGCCAGTAAATTTCCTGAAAATAAACTTTGGCATAATGAGTTTCAAATGTGCAATTAACCTTTACATGTTCAAACACATTACTTGAACATGTCCAAAAAGGTTCAATAACTTTATATACGTTTCGATGTACACTCCCATATATCAGGTCAAAATGAAGAAGGTAGAATTGCGTTTTATCAAAACCAATTGATATGAAAATTAAATGTATACCTTATTAAGAAATATATCTCTTATAAATAATGTCAGACATATAATGTCTTAAAAAAATTTACAGAACCGTGTATTGTATGTGTAATACTCAAAAAAATCCTTGAAGATTTCCAGTAATATATGACAAGGCATGATGGACATATATATTACCCTTAAAAATATTTCGGCAAACATATAATTCCAAATGTAACAGAGATTCTCTTATAAACTAAAAAAGATAGTGATAATTTTTTTGTTAATTATTAACATGCATATTTGTTATAAACCCATTCTAATCTATATAATTATTTTGAATTATAAAAAAAATTCAAAAAAATTACGGTATTATAGAGCATTGGATCTTAGAAAATTTCAAAGCAATACTTAAATGGGATTACGAAATGGTGAAAATCTTCGGTAATCACCTAGATTTCAAATCTAACATATATTTTCTGCTATAAACTATACCCAAAATAAAATTGGTTTTTAAAAATTAAAATGCATGGTTGTTTAAAAGAAAATCTTATCTATTTAAATATTTTGAACTTATGAAAAATTATTAAAAATATTTGAAACATTTTAGAAATCAAAAGATCTAAAAAAAATTCAAAACCTGATGCATGGTTGTTTTAGACTACATTTAATCTATTTGAAAATACTATATAATTTATAAAAATCTTCGGATCTACAAAAACTTCAATACCTCAATTCGATGGGAGTGTGAAGTAGCATAAAACAGATCTATATGAAAAAATGAAATAAAATTACCAGCTCGATCTCTCTGCATCCATCGCCGGCTATCGTCCAGAGCACCGGTAGATTAGAGAGGGGATAAGAGCACTGGAAATGGGCTTCACGCCCGCCGGCGTGAACGGGCGTTTAACGCCCCGGGGCGTGAAACACCGCCCCCCTCCAGCGTTATTTGGGCGTGATCGGGCGTGCGTCAAAGGAATGACGCTGCGTCATTCCATTCCCCTCCCCCCTTAACGGCTATAATAGCCGTTGCACCCCCCCCTATTCAAAAAAAAAATTCCTATAAATACAAACCCCCTCCCAATCTCTCACACCTTCTTCATCTTCAATCTCTTCTTCTTCCCAATTTTTAAAATTCGAAATTACCCCCTTGCTTTTCAACATGAATCCTTCCGGCTCTGGCTTTTTTCTAATATATTTATGTTTTTATTTATATATATTATATTTAATAGTGTCTAAAAAAATTGTGTAATACATTTTTAAAGGTACGGAGCAAACGAAGGATGCGATGTGGGATCGTATCGAGGAGAAGTTCTTCACGGCAATGAAGAAGGACGGCTTCTACCGAACCTGGGACCAACTCACTTCCAAATGGAGCCACGTCAACAAAAAAGTCCGAAAGTTTATGGGAGTTTACGAGGAATGCTCCCGGTCCCGAAGGAGCGGCACGAACGACGCCGATGTTCTCCGGCTTGTCACGACCCGGTATCAAGACGACGGGAACCAAGGCAAGGTGCCCATCGATCTTTGGAGGATTTTGAGTCGTTCCCCGAAGTGGCAACAACTCAACAATCCCGACGGCGAATCGTTCCGGAAAAGATCCACCGTCGATGCCGAGGTTGAGGTCGACGAGACTATCGGTTCTACCGATCAGATCCCTTCCTTCAACGTTGCGGATTCTGATGACGAGGACCCCATTCCATGGCCGATCGGAAGAAAGAAGGCAAAATCCATTGCCTCTGGTTCGGGAGGGTCCGCTTCTCCCCGCGACAAAATCGGACGGGCAATGGTTGAACAACTTCGGGCGTTCAATCTCCAGGAACAAGAGAGGTTGAAGCTAAAGGAGAAGGAGTTGAAGCTAAAGGAGCAGGATGTCGAGATGAAAGTCATGCAAACCGACCCTGGGACGTTGTCGGAGTTTGGACTAATGATCTACGAGCAAAGAATGAGAGAGATCAAGGAGAAATATAATTTACCTTAGTTTTTTTATTAATGTATCTTTTTTTTAAATTATTGTCGTTTTTTTATTTAATTAATGTATTTTTTATTATTCGTGTTTCAATTTAATTAAATAATAAATTAATTACATTTTATTAATTTAATTTTAGAAGATGTATATTTAAAAATGTAAAAAATGAAGGTTTGAAGCCCCAGTTTGAAGCCCCGGGGCTTCAAACCCATTTCCAGTGAATTTTGGGTGTAAGTTAAAGCTGACGTGGCAGAGAGAGAAGGTTTGAAGCCCCAGTTTGAAGCCCCGGGGCTTCAAACCCATTACCGGTGCTCTAAGGCAAAGCGGCTGAAAATATGTGGTACTGAGGATACCATGGAGAATATCTCAAAAATGGAGTACATTAGTCGTTGGGCTGCGGGAATTGGGCTGGTCACGTTTCAAAAAAATTAGATCAAAATCCTAATTTATGAATTCATATTTAAAAATAACTTTATAAATTTTAAGTTACTGTATTTTTTGCACAATTTAAACAGGAATTGGATGTTGGTTGAGTCTATGTTACAAGTGCAAGAGTAATCAACACTCTCTATTTATGGAAGATTGTTGGAAATGCTTTATCGTACAGGCGTATGTTGGCAGGGGCGGAGGAAAGGGAGGCTACCGGGGCGCGTGCCCCCCCGGCGGAGGTTCGGTGAAGAGTCATCTACAGGCGTATGTTATCTGCTCTTTTTCTTGCGGCGTTTTATGAATAAAATAAATCAGATTTCAGGCTCTAGGCACGTAAATAGGATTTTAAAACAAATAGGCCGCTCCTTTTTACGCATTTTCTCCAATCCTAATCTCATTTTCACCCGTTTCTTAAACGCTTTGTACTCCATATTTTTTTGCTTTATTCATTACGGAGTAAATATTTATTGATGTGTTTTTTGAGAGATACTCCGTAATTAAGTCTATTAAATATTCAATTACTTTGTTTTGTGTTCAATTAATAATATTTATATTTTATTAATAAAGGTCTAGGTAAATACACGTCTAATCTAATTGGGTTACTATTGTTGTTATTTTATGATAAGAATTACTCCATATAATTTTGGACAAATTTGTTACTTAGTAATAAATAATTAATTAACCAAATTGTTATTTTGAAAAAGAACTAACATTTTGTATAATTAATAATAATAATAACATTTATCGTTACATTTTTGTGAATAATTTGATTCTTTGAAATAAATTTTTTAAATCATTTTATGTTGTCTTTAAAAAATCCGGGGGCGCTACCCCCGGTCCCCCGAGGTGTGCCCCCCAATTGTGCCCTCCTAGCTCTGCCACTGGACGTTGGATAGGGATTGTTTTTTGTTTGTGATGAATGTGCAAGACTAACACCACCAGAAATGACACGATCTACACGCCGACAATCTAAACGAGTTAAAACTCCAAACAAGAAATATTTCACGATCTTTATGTTCTTCATTAAATATGTTAGATATTTATTTTTATCCTAAATGTTGGTGATTTTGTTTTGTAGGATATTATTTAGTTAGAACATTTTGAAACGTTTCCATATGTAATGTATCCGAATCGCTTTATGGATGGATTTGGGTTGTTATCTATTCGAATGCTTTTTATGATTATGACAAAGATTAATTTCTTTATTGAGGTTCCGAAATTGCAGCACACTATTTATGACCAATATATCGTTCTATAAGCTTACCAAAACAATATTTTTTATTTTTTATTACTTTTGATGTATAACATTATATCCTAAAAGTTAAAATGCTTATTTTGAGTATCACAATTTTGTTTTAAAATTATGAAATTTTAAATTTATAACAATAAATACGCTTAGAAGATTTAGGCACTCGATAGCTCTTTATTGTTAAGTTTTTAAGTGGAACATCAAATCTTCTATGTTGAATAATTTTAATTCTAACATATCACTAAAATGTTAGGATAGAAAATGGAAGATCCAATGTTTCGAAAGATAAATCCAATTCCCCCTCTATGAGTTTTGGTGGAGTAAATTTGAGGAGAAAGTCGGTCTTACAATGTGAAACACTAAACAATTCATCAATTCCAGATAAGTGTACTCCTTCGTTGGCGATTTAGATCAAGCTTTGGGTGAGAGGGATATTTTGGTGGAAACAAAAAATGGACCATTGCAAAGGATAAGCGAATTAAATCCGGCTTATTTGAGTCTACAATATCCCTTATTATTTCCATGTTGGATTGCTATTGAAGAAACTGGTATTCAGTCATGGTCAACTCTACGTTGCAATTTCACGTGTTACAAGTCGCGAGGGGTTAAAGATCTTGATTTGCAATAAAGACCTTCCGTCAACAAACCAAACTACGAATGTAGTTTATAAAGAAGTGTTCCAAAACTTATAACATTGCATATCGACTACGGTCTTTCCTGTACACTACGAGTCTAGTATGCTTAACGGAAATAGGTTTCATTCCCTTATTTATTACTCCGTATTATTATTATTATTATTATTATTATTATTATTATTATTATTATTATTATTATTATTATTATTATTATTATTATTATTGCCAAACCTCTTTTCATTAATTTATTGAACCGTATTGACTATTTCGCTTATCACGGTCCACACAAAATTTCAAACTTAACAAATAATATGTCGTTGGTCACCTTTTCCCGAGATCTATCCGAAAACCCAAATTTCGCAGGATAATATTATGTTTGCATCATTTTTTTTATTCGTTTTCTTTATAATCTTTTCAGTCTCGGACGGTCAAACCCCTAACCTTCGTAAATCGCATCCGTACGCGGGACATGTCGTCAAACTCGTTCCATCAAGGCGTTCCATCCGAGTATAATCTTAACGATAAAAAGATTCCTTTAAAATATCTTATTTTAATATTTTCGTTTCGAAGTTTATTTAATTTAAATAGAAACTAGAATTGTAATTAATTAGAAATTTATTACAAAATTCTAGGGTATATCTCAGGGCGTTACAAGTACCAAATATTATGTTTATGGTCCTTTGTTTATTGATACTGATGGACCCGACTCTAGGCCCAATAAAGGCCTATAATAGCGCAAGATGGATAAGGCCAGGTGAGGGCAACGGGCCGAGCCGCTACTACACGCTTATCAAATGGGAAAAGGATGGCCCAACCATGGACTAAATCAAGGTGACCCGGTCCAAGAAAGGAATGGGATACGTGGTCTGCATCATTAAGTTGTGGACAAGATGGGAAGATAATGAGACCGGAAAAGAGGGGATCACAACCCCATGATCTCCATAATTCCTCCCATTATGTATAATTTTAATTACAATATTAGAAATACTATAAAAGGGGGGAGAACCCGCCATTGTAAAGGAGAGAGGTAATTGAATACTCAAGTAAAGAATATTATTGTGAGATTATATCTTTCTGATCCATATTACGTTCTTGGTCCACCATCTGATCGGGTTAATCCCATCATTGGTGCTTCCATTGAGAGAAAACTGTGAGATAAGGCTGTGAGATTATGGCCGGACGAAGGACGAGGCGTAACACTGCTGCTTCCGCCCAGTCGACGGTGAGGAGTGACAACCCTGAACAGGGTGTGATCGTTCCTGTCAATGGGTTGGAAACAGCATTGAATAGTGTGGCTAACATGATGACCAACATTATGGAACGATTGGATAAGGCTCTTCTAGGTCCATCCGGTACCCGGGACATCCCTGCCGGGCAACCCCGCCAGGTCCTGCGTACTGCGAGTTCACCTATCCTCCAAGAGCTTCATGATCCGGAGGAAGTTGAGAGGGAGAGACAGGCCATTGCCAGACGCCGGGCGGAGGAATTGGCCCGGAATAGTAAGGTGAATGGAGATCGGGCCAAGGATGCAAGCCGGATCATCGGCAATAGAAACGAGAACCCTCGGGGATCTGTCTTTGAAAGGATGTCTCGCCAGAAGGCTCACGTTAGTGAGAGGCTGGGGAAGAATCCGGACAAGGCACCCCATGGTTGGATACGACCCTAGGCCAGTCAAGTGGCATCTTCTAACCGCGAACCCCGGCAGCGAAACGGCCGTGGCGGGAGCCAAGAGCCGGTTCGGACATTGGTGGATTTGGAGGAGGATGAAGTTCAAATCCAAGCCAGGGTCCCAGCACCACGGGGTCTGGGGCCGCTGGTACCGGAAACGGGTGAATTCCAAGATCTGAAGCAGCAGATCCAGGAGATGCAGAGGAAGATAAACAAGGGTCGAGTATTCACTACCCGGACGAATACTCCCTTGGCCCCGGAGATCTTTGCAGAACCATATCCGCAGGGATTCAAAATGTCGTTCGTTAAGCGTTATGATGGGGAGTCAGATCCCCAGGAACACATAAACAGCTATGTCCAGGTGATGATTGCCGTAGACGCCAGTGACGCACTCATGTGCCGGTGCTTCTTGCAGACGGTTGACAGCAAGGTTGCGGATTGGGTCAACCATATTCCTGCCGGGTCGATCCGGACATGGGATGAATTGGGATTGCGGTTCCTAGAGCATTTTGCCGGGAACTGTCGTCCCAAGAAGCATTTCACTCACTTGGCTTCAGTGCGACAGAAGCACGGAGAGTCCTTGAAGAATTTCCTTATTTGATGGAGGAAAGAGTCCAGGGAGGTTGAAGGAACCGACGACAAATCCAGGTTGGCCATGTTCACGGCGGCATTACAGGATGGACTCCTTCATACCGATCTTACAACTCATCCCCCGGATACCTTTGAAGAAGCAATGGTCCGGGCCGGGAGGTATGTGACCCTGGAGGAGAGAAAGGAGGAGAAGAAAGAGAAGACTCCTAAAGAAGAAGAGAAGGCGAGAAATAAGAAGCCGTTCAAAAACAAGAAGCAAGGCTTCCCGGATGGCCCAAAGGGCACAAGTCCTGGGACCTCGGAGAAGCACAAATCTACCAATCCAGTCTTCACATTGCCGGTGGCTAAGGTCATGGCCCACGCTGCACAGCAGGGACTTATGACTTATCCAACCTATTCTCAAAAGGTTTGCAATGTGGAGGACACTGGAAAATGGTGTGCTTACCATCGCAAGAATGATCACAATATGGAAGATTGCTATACTCTGAAGAATGAGATGGCAAGGCTAACCCGCCGGGGTCATCTGAAGAAGTTCGTACAAGATGGGGATGCGGGAAATCCTGGGAACGCTCAGAATGGAAAGCGCAGAGATAAAGAAGTGGCCCAGGCTGAGTCCCGGGAGAAGCGCCACATTGGGCTCGAAGATGAAGAAGAGGATTCGGAACCTGCACCGCATCGCCAGAAGAGACACCACGGGTGTAACTTCATCATTGGAGGGAATACTGGCGGAGACTCAGCCACAAGCCGGAAAAAATGGGCAAACGCGGCGACGGTCAACAAGGTGCTGGTCCCAGAAGGTAAGAAATTGAAAACCAAGCCAATTGTATTTTCTAATGCTGATTTGCCAGAGAGGGGTCCCCCATAGGGACGCCCTGGTGATTACTATTGATAAAATGGACTTGCTGATCCATAAAACCCTTGTGGATATAGGAAGTTCCGTTAATATCATGTATATGGACACGTACAAGGCTCTTGGTTTGACAAGGGATGAATTATCACCCATCAAAACTCCACTGACCGGGTTCACTGGTGACTCTATTGAACCGGAGGGGGTAATAACTCTCCCGGTTGAGATAGGGGATACAAAGGCCACCCGGAAGTTGGACATGGAGTTTGTGGTGGTGGGGATAATCTCCAACACAAACATCATCCTGGGCAGACCCGGATTGGAAGATTTAGAGTGTGTCATATCACCTCGTCACCTGTGCATAAAGTTCCCAACCCCCCACGGAGTTGGAATCGCCAGGGGATCTCAGAGAGTGTCCCGAGCATGGTATTTGAAGGCAACCAAACAGCTAGTCAAGTACGATACCCAAGTGGGAGAGGTGACTGCACAGCTCCTGAGGGCTGAGGAAAAACGTCCCAGGGTGGAAGTTGCTGGCGATATTGAAGAAGTGGAACTGGAGCCAGGCACGCCAGGAAGGTTAGTCAGGATTGGCAAGGGCCTGGGGGCTGAACTCAGATCACGGGTGATTTCAATCCTTAGAAGATTCAGGAGGGTCTTTGCATGGAGTCCAGCTGATATGCCGGGGCTGGATCACAAGATTGCAGTCCATCGCCTAAATGTCCTGCGGGATGCTAAACCAGTGAAGCAGAAACAGAGGCATTTGTCGCAGGAAAGAAGAGATTTCGTGAAGAGGGAGGTAGCAACCTTGTAGAGCATTGGTCACATCCGGGAGGTGCAATACCCAGATTGGTTGGCAAATGTAGTTCTGGCGCCCAAGCCCCCTTCGTGGAGGATGTGCGTCGACTACACGGATTTGAACAAGGCATGTCCCATGGATCCGTTTCCTCTCCCCAACATCGATCAGATGGTGGATGAGACTGCCGGATCAGAGTTAATGAGCTTCATGGACGCTTTCAGCGGCTACCATCAGATTCGGATGCATCCGGCTGACGCTGAAAAGACGAGTTTTATGACCCTAGAAGGGCTATATTGTTACCTGGTGATGGCCTTTGGACTGAGAAATTCCGGGGCGACATATACCCGGATGGTCTCTCAGGAGTTCATGTCCGTTTTAGGGCGAACCATGGAAGCATATGTTGATGACATGATTGTCAAGTCCAAAGAGGCCCGAGACCATGTCCGGGACCTTGAAGAGGTCTTTGAAATCTTGATGAAGGTAAATCTGAGATTGAACCCGAAGAAATGTACTTTTTCTGTTCAGGGTGGGAAATTCCTTGGGCATATGGTTAACAGAAAAGGGATTGAGGCAAATCCGGAGAAAGTTAGGGCGATCATGGAGATGGAACCCCCGAAGACAGCAAAAGAAGTTCAGCGGCTGACAGGGAAATTGGCGGCTTTGAATCGTTTTCTTTCAAAGCTGGCAGAGAAGGCGCACCCATTCTTTACGGTAATCAAGAAGAGGGCGACCTTCGAGTGGACACACGAATGTCAAGAAGCATTTGAAGAACTGAAGAGATATCTCGCAAGTCCGCCGGTTTTATCTAAGCCGGAGCCTGGAGATGTTCTGACTCTATACATGGCAATTGCAGACTGTGCCATAAGTACTGTGATCGTGAGGGAAGAGATTGGGGCCCAACATCCGGTCTACTACGTGAGCAAGACCTTGAGAGATGCGGAGTTAAGGTATTCCCGTCCACAGAAGGCCATGTTAGCGATCTTCTGGACAGCAAAGAGGTTAACCCCGTACTTTCAGGCTCACCAGATTGTTGTGCTCACGAATGAGCCTTTGGCGTCACTTACCCGAAGCCCGGCGGCGCCTGCCCGGATGACCAAGTGGGCAGTCTTCATCAGTCAGTATAACGTGGAGTTCAGACCGCGTCTGTCAATCAAGGGGCAAGCACTCGCCGACTTTCAAGTTGAGTGCACCACCAGGGAAATGACAAGAGCCCAGGTTGAAACCCGGGTGGAAAATGACTGGTGGGTAATGAGCATCGATGGATCTTCTGGGGCTCGATCTTGCGGAGCAGGTATCGTCTTGATCACCCCAGAAAATTTCCGGATGTATTACGCTATCAGATTTCAGTTCCGCGTATCCAACAATGAAGCTGAATATGAGGCCCTGATCAACGGATTGAAGATTCTTGGCAAGCTGGGAGTGTCCAGGGTTCAAGTATTCAGCGACTCCCGACTAGTGGTGGGACAAATTACTGGGGAGTTTGAAGCAAAGGAAGAGAGGATGAAAAGGTACCGGGACTTGTCCTTAGAAATGTTGGGAAGGTTTGAGTTTAACCTTGAACACATACCCCGGGCCCAGAATGCCGAAGCTGATGTTCTATCCAAGCTTAGTGCAGAATCACCAGAATACATAAGCCGATTAGCAACTGTCGAAGAGTTGGCAGCTCCGAGTCTCAACAGAGATGAAGTAATTTGGATAGCAGCGGATCCCCCGGAATGGTTGGACAGGTTGGCAAAATACATTGAGGACGGTGTAGCCCCGGAGGATCCCCAAGAAGCACGTCTGTTGCGAATGAGGGCACCCACCTACAAGGTGCAGGATGGAGTCCTCTATAAGCGATCTTATAACGGTGTTTTACTCTGCTGCCTCAGGGCAGCAGAGGCAAAGGTACTGATGGAGGAAATACACGAGGGAGTATGTGCTGCACATCAGGGTCCATACTCTATCTCTAGAAGGGCCATTATCCAGGGATATTTCTGGCCAACGATGAGGAAGGATTTCGAAGAGTACGTGCGCAAGTGCCCAACCTGTCAACAATTTCAGAATATGCCCGGGAGGCCAGCCACGAACTACACGCCCATCAGCTCTGTAATTCCCTTCTCAAGATGGGGAATTGATATTGTGGGAGCCCTGCCAAAGGGAGTTGGACAGGCAAGGTGGATAGTGGTGGCCATTGATTACTTTACCAAGTGGGTGGAAGCTGAACCACTTGCCGGGATAACAGGAAGACAGATGATCGACTTCGTTGGAACCAATATACTTTGTAGGTTCGGGGTCCCGAAGCAGATCATATCTGACAATGGAACCCAGTTTGAGGAAGCAGAGTTTCAAGACTTCCTCAAAACATGGGAAATTCAGCATACAAAAGTGTCTGTTGCCTACCCTCAGGCTAATGGACAAGTGGAGAACGTCAACAGGACAATCATAGATGGAATAAAAAAGAAGCTGCTTTCAGAAGGAAGTAAATGGGTGGATGAACTACCCAGGATCCTATGGACATACAAGACAACTCCAAGGAGAGCTACGGGTGACACTCCTTTCGGCTTAGCCTATGGTTTCGAAGCCCGGGCTCCCGCTGAGGCAGTAATCCCTACCCGGAGAGAGATAGAATATGACCCGGAAATAAATGAACAGAATCAAGCCATATAACTAAACTTCGTAGAGGAACGAAGGGATGAAGCACGAGTCCGGGCAGAGAATTATCGTCGCCAGGTGAAATCTTACTTTGATAGTAGAGTAAAACCAAGGGAGTTCCAGGTGGGGGATTACGTCCTGAGGAAGCGAGAGAAGAGTCAACCAACTAAGGGTGGGAAGCTGGCTAAGAAATATGAAGGACCTTATATCATCAAGGCCGTTGTTCGCCCAGGTACCTACAAGTTGGTGACTCCAAAGGGGAAAGAAATCGATAGGACGTGGAATGTAGAGCACTTGGTCAAATTTTATCAGTAAAATCATTTTGTAAAGCACTCTATTTTTAAGATGTTCGTTTCAATGATTTTTTTTCTTTCCTTTAAAGCCAAGCACCCCCCGGGCGATAAAGACCCACATTACAGGGAGGTAGATAAGTTTATGCCACCTGCTAAAAATAGGGGAGGTAGATAAGTTTATGCTCCCCAGAGGTAGATAAGTTTATGCCTCCGTCAAAAATGAAGGAAGGGTTGGGATTGGACTTTGAGGGCCTTTACAACCTAGAATTCGGGAAGAACAGCAAACAGACTTCGAGGGCTGGAGCTCAGTATTCCACCAGCACAGATCAACCGAGCAAACAAACTTCGAGGGTTGGAGCTCAACTGATCTAAGGTAGATAAGATTATGCCTTAACCCGGAGGAAAGGAGGTCAGGGGCAGGTGAGGTAGGTTCCCATGGCATGTCCAAACCCCGGGAGATGAGATTTTATACAGAGAATGAATTATGTACTTGCATTAGAAAAAGTACAAAGAAATAACCATTAAGGACCACATTGATGGGCCAAAGTTTACATTTTTTGTTCACAATAAAGGTTCCTAGTGAGATAAAAAAAGAGAAAATGAGGGAATTTATCGATTGTTAATTCGAAGGTTGTATCTTTGAATTACAACGTTAAATCCTGGATTGAAATTGGAGGACATTCCTGAGTATGGGACGCAGGAAAAACTCCTGGACCAAACAAGTGAATGCATCTTGAAATAAAACAAGGAGAAGAAATTTAATTTGCAGGGGGCTAGGCACTGAAGGAGGGCCTATTGCATCCATGCAGTCAATAAGAAGGAGGCGGGGGCCCCTTCCATGGGCTCCTTTTCTTCGACGAGGGGCACGCGGTGGAATCAGCTGCTTCCTCTATGTCATTGTCTTCCCACATCCCTGGACGAGGAGCTGGAACTCCCAATGAAGAACCATCATTGAGAGACTTCAGCAAGTTTGGAGAAGCAGTCCGGATTTCACGCGAAGGCTCCGCCTCGGCAGTCGGCAAAGAACGCCCAAGTTTGGCCCTGCGCATCCTCTGGTACAAGGCGAAGTCTTGAAGGGTCATAGAGTCCCAATCTATCCCCCGGATGGAAGCCTGGGTGGACTAGGAGGAGATGGTGCAGGAAGACGAGGTGCTGGATAAAGTCTTGAGAACTCGTCAGGACTCAACCCAGCCAAGTCATTGGATTGAGCCGGAGAGGCGGAGAGATCGTCATCCGAAGAAGAAGATGTCCCAGAATGGGTTAGGTCGATGAAGACTTTACTCTGAGATTTACTGGCCATGGTGAAGAAATCAGAAAGGGATGAACCAGCAGCAAACCATCCTTTCCCATTTATAGTGAAGGGGGAAAGGATTGTTGGGAAGTGATGGATGCAGTTAAAAGATGTAAAAGACCAAGCGATTGGCGAACGAAGCGGTTGAGGATTCCCAATGTTTGACCAGAGTTTTTCACCACTTAAGTGCATAAGCCGGTTGGCTGGGCCCATCTGCACTTCGGGAAAGATGTCATTCTTGGAAGGTAAGGAGTTAAATAAGTATAGACCTCTACTCCATGCAGATGGCGGCACACACAACACAATTAAATTAAATGACAGGAGATAAATGTTTCCCATTAAATAGCTCAAACAGGAAGTTACATGCTTTCGGGCTACAATTGTGGGCCTTATCCCTGATTTAACAACAAAACAAAAAAGAGACGGGAGATAAAGATTTTCATTAAATAACTCAAACAGAAGATTACATTCTTTTGGGTTACAGTAATGAACTCTATCCCTGATCTACTTCTATCCTGCTGCTGGAAAAATCTGAAGGCAAGGCGGATCGACACTCCTAGAATCTAGGGGAGTGCATCCGTTGACCCTTGTTTCCGTGCTTGAACCAGAAAAGAACCCCAGAGCGGGGAGGTGAGGAGAAAGCCTACCGTCTCTCTTGATGACATTCGAAAGAGGCGAAATGGTACCAACGGGTTGGGATTGAAAGCCATTCCCCCGTGTGTACCATCCAGTCACTCCCATGAAGGCGGACAAGGAGGACGATAGGGCATGAGGGAAGGACCCATGGCCTATTTCCGTTTATACAGAAGGTGGAGGCGGATCCCGGAAGGTTCCGTCCTTTTCCCTGCGCATAAACAGAAGCCTATTTCCCCCCATGTCATAGTCCTCCCACTCCTCAGGCTACCGTCCATACAACTGCTGAGGAGAGGGAGAACCCTGGGAGGAAGGCCTCGCACCTGAGACCAACCGGGAAGCTCCTGAGTAGGGATTGCGTCTCTTTTGCGGACGGGACGCGCCCAGACAGCCAGAAGAAACTTCCGTCCTGGCACCGTTAGGAAGCACGCCGGAATCCGGAGGAGTACCCTCTGATGCCTGTTGGGGGAGATGAGGATGGTTCTCCTCCCTGGACAGGGGAGAAGTCACCGATTGTTCAAGGGCAAGAGAAGGCCCAGAAGAGAGTTCAGGCGTTGGGGCCCCAAGTGAGGGGAATTCCAACGAAGAAGAGTCAGAAGAAGAATCGGAAATAGTAAGATCAATAAAGACAACTCTGTTGGCGTTATTAGCCATATGAAGAATTTGATTGTGATGGTGAAGGGGTTCAGCTTAGTCCCTTAAATAGGCGAGTAATCCCAAAGGGGGAGTGCAAGGGACGCGAAGTCAAAGCACTTATCCGATTGGGAAGCAGTTCCGGATTCCTGAGGAAAGCTAGGGTTGCACCGTTTCATTATTAGGCTAAGGTGAATCAGGCCCGATGTAATTAAGGTGGGCCATACACTTAGCGCAATGATAAAAAAAGGCAGCACCTTGTGAACGCGGTTAAGCCCAAAGCCTAAGCGGATAAAAAATCTGCTAAGTCCTAAGGAGAGATAAGAATCCCGAAAGGAGAACAGTGAGCTTAATGAAAGGAGTCTACGAGGAAGGAAATACATCAAGTACCGTCAAGTTACTACCATTTAAATGTTACAAAGCAAAATATAACAGTTGGTGAAGAAAAGAAAAGTCAGGGCCCCGGGTCCACACGAGAATCCGGGGGAGAAAGAGGAAGAGGTAACCCGTAGTATGAGATGAAATCATCCAAGGATCGGTGAGCTGGAAGACCACTCCAGACCGCCTCATAAATGCAGTGTTGCATGTCAAATTTCCCTTCTTCATAAAGGGCTTCAGCACGGGCAGTCAGGGTGACAACCTCCTCTTGATGGGCAGCAATTGCCTTCTCTAGTTCACCCATCCTTGACTGGAGCTCGCTGGCAGTCTGTCTCTCTTTCCCCAACTTCTCGAGGGTAAGCCGTCTCGCCTCCATGTGCTTCAACGCGAGTTCGTTAAGACGGGAGCCCTCATACTTGGCCTCCTAAAGGGAATTCTCCAGTTCAGAGATCCGGGATTCCCTTTCAACCAACTCAGCTCTCAGACTTCCCACCTTGTCTTCTGAAGCTGAGGCCTTTGATTCCAGAATGGAGATTTGTGCCCGGAATCTGTCGAACTGCATTTCCAGATCTTGAGTCCCCCTTTGATAAGCAGCAATTTGCTCTTGCAGGGACTGGACTCTGGACCTTTCAGCTGCTAGTTCCGTAGAGCAATTTTCCTTGAGCCGGGCATTTTCTTCTTGAAGGGCCTGAGCTAGTTGCTCCAGAGAATCAACTTTCTGTTGCAGAGCCCTGGCCGCCAACTCCTTCTCCTTCAGGGCCACCACGGCCCGGTAGTTCCCTAATGCTCCACCCAGGTACTCCTTAGTGAGGGTGAGGAGCGATTGTTGGGCCTAGGGAGGGGAAAGGAAGTCAAGAGAGAAGTAACTACAAAGAGGTAAAGAGATTCTTGAAAGGGAAGAGTACCTGCTCCATGGAGTAAAGAGCATTGAGGGCAAGCAGGTTGGGACGAGCCTGAGGGATTGTGGGCTCCTTTAACGACTCCTTCATCTTCTCCAGATTTGCTTGAATGGTCCCATGGGAGGCCTGCATGGAGATCAAACCTGTAACACCCTAATCTGTCCAGGTCTGCAGCCCCTTTCAGATTAAAGTATTAACTTGGTAATCGTAAAAATTTAAAACATTTCAAACACTTTTATTTATCACAACAATATTTTTCATAATATAAACAGTACGGAGTTTTCAATATTGCGGAAGCTTAACAGTCATAATCACAAACATAATTTATTTATGTTCTTTAATTCAAAACCATCACATCCATTCCGACAATCTCGCCTCCGTCTGCCTCCAGGATCACGTCACTTCATTAACCTGCGTGTAGCAAATAAAACATACTACACGCTCAGTGTTGAAGCTGAGTAAGCATATCTAATGCATCGAACATCCATATAAACTGAATCTAAATTCATAATCAAATCATTTGATATCATGCACATAATGTTCAGTTCAGATAATCAATAACTATTAAAAATTATTCATCTTGCATTATTCAACATTTATATTCACATTCAATGTTCATCAGTTATTCATAATAATTGCAATATTCAA